TGATGATGCCCTTTTCGAGGAAAGTCAGAGACAGCCATATTTTCAGGAAGGTTTTTCAGAATAAATATTAAATTTAGAATTCCCTTTGGTGCTCATTTTTTCTCCAAAATCAAAATCAACGCTGAGAGCCATTCTTTTTTTTATAGAAAAATTGCCAGCCGAGCTGCCAAATTTCATCAAAAACCTTTAAGCATGGTAGACGAGGTTTGAATTTCAACTAAACGCATAATTATGACGCTTGTAGCGTATGTTTGAGGTTTTACCTAATTCTCTTGTTTTAACAACTCGCTATCCACGAGAACGCCCCGTTGCACAACTGTGTCAGCTCATATGCCCACACAGGCCTGTATATCTGAATAATCCAATTTGGAATTTATCATGCCTTTTTCTCTCTCTTTTCCTTAAAAGATTGCTAAATTTCGGATACACGGAGCTATAGACTTATTATGGTCACTAGCACTTCATCTTTGTCTTGAGGACGCCCGAGGACGACTTTGCTCACTTGCTAGCACACTTGGCTTCTCCAAACCTTCCTTGGTATGTTCCTAGGAATTTTATAGTAGCCCTATTATTGTTATACATAATAATGAAGACAGGCTTTGATTATTCTTCTGAGATAAAATTATTTTGGAGACCTTGATTTCATATTTAAATGCATGATGATGAGATTCGTAGATCGACCCGACCAGAAGACTTCGGCCAATTCTTGTTGTACTGCAGCCGCTTGGCTTTAATACGATGTTCAGATTGATCCATTCCACGAGGAATCCTCCTTCGCTTCGGACGAAAGTGGGCTAAATTTCTGTCGATCATATGATGGAAATCAGCAGAGCTGGAACCCATTCATGCAAAAGTCTCATGAGAACACCAAGTCAATATAATGTATGTCATATGACGAACGAACGCTCAGCACTTTTTCGCCTGAAATGAGGAAGGATGTCTCGTGAACTGCGTCAACCTGAACATCGTACGAAAGCCAAACTGGAAGCGGCCATCGTCTTCTGGTGAGACTGACCTTCAAATTTATTCATAATGTACTTTTATACGAAATAAAAGTCTCCTCACCTATAATTTTTGCTTAGCCTCTTCATTTGAGTCAAATATATATGCTTAAATGCATACTTGTAATTGTTTTCGTTCTCGTAACAATTGCATATTCATCCAATAACAAACTTATTCATAATTTTGCTGAGAAGCTTCTGTGACTCATATCATTGTGAGAAAGTCCAACTACATGTGACCTAGGATGACTAAATTCTTATCCAAAAACTTACTCTTCTTTACTGAAACCATTAATTTCGTTTTTGATTGTCAAATAACTTCAAATCCACCTCAAGGAATGTTTTTGAAAAATGTTTTCGTGAAGTAATTTCTGCTGATTATTCAACGTACTGAGTCATAAAAGATTAACATGCTACCATTGCTGGATGTCCTAGCGACTAGTGAATTAATTATGTTTGGCGGAGATGTGTTTAGGCAACCCACACATGCACATTTATTTCTTACTTTCCTGACGCTATCCGAGAGAAATTCTACTTCGATTCCGTTTAAAATGTGCTAAAATTTAGATTTTTCATGTGTACATCATAGTTTATTCAATGTTAAGGATATCAGTAAGAAGTTATTTAGGAACTTCTTGTACTTAATAGGTTATTTTGCTATAAAGAGGGGCAACTCAAGTAGTCTTTTGTTGGTCAATGCTTCAATTACGGTCACACTTAGTATACTTTTTAATTAACAGGCACAAAGCTCATCAACTTAATCACTGCAAGAAACCATACTTTACGAAATAGTACAACAATATATTCAACATACTTCTTCTATTTCTGGTGAAGCCATTTCACAAACCCCTTCCAACCAACCTTTCCTTCGAAATGGAAAGCCGAGTCACACTAACTCACTAAGGGATTCTTCGAAATCCAACTTTTTCTTAGTTTTCACCGAAATTAAAGAAGATTGCCTTGATAATTGCTTAAATCAGAATGCTCCACTAAATTCAAACAGCCACTGGCCAAGAACAATCTGCCATCATCTGATGGGATTGACCTTCGAATCTGTTGCTATTTTCGAAATAGAAGTGGGTTTATCACCTGTATACCGGAAGGCTCATTGCAGTCTAACTCTTTTTCCTATTTACCAACTAAGTCACTAGTATTTCGTTCACAAACTTCCCTCTCTTCGCTATGATATAATCTTTATTTTTTCGATGTATTGACCATTTTCTGTTGCTAGCTACAATATCACTTACTTCTAGATTATATTTTGGCGTAAATTGGATTCCATTCTGTGACTTCCTTTTCTTTGTGAAATTAGCATCATGGACAACTGCATGCTGCAGTTATTGATGTATTTTTTCTATGCACAAATCCTGAGGACCTGTATTGGTCGGCCATCAATGTCTATTACACTTGAGTTTCGTATTATACGTTTCATTCAACAATCTGATTCACTTCCCTTTTATGCAATTCAAAGCAAGTTGGCTTTCTTGCTTAGTTTTTATCCAATTGTAGGCCTGCCTTTGCTTTCGGTAGAATGTGTCATCATTTTGAGATTATCTCATCACTCACACCTTTTCCATTTCAGGTGGGCGTTCCGCAAGCTTCTTCTTCCTCATGGCTTCTTCAGCTACAGAGTGAAGCGACCGTTCGTCTTTTCATCGGTCTTATCAGTGAGAAACATCAGGTTGCCTTGCTGGCTGATGACCTCTCTCTCGAATTTCGCCTCAGCCCATGTCCTGTCAGCACAACAGGCGAACAAGTGGCCGGTGGTGACAAGGATGATATGCAGGTCCCACTCTTGGCCGATGAGGATCAAAGTTCGGTGTTGCTCAACTGCACAAGCCGCCTCGTCTGTAACCGATTGATATTCCGCTGTGAAAATCAAGATATTGGCATGTTTCAGGTAGACAACATTTCTACCCAACTCAATTTTAGACTTGTTTTCGCCTCTGAAATGTGTCTACATTACTAATTCAACGAACGAATTTGTTGCTTCTGCTCTCTTCGGCTAGGGGTATACCTTCTGCCATGCCCCAAACTTGGTTCTTTATTTGAAAGCCCTTCCTGCTTTTGAGCCAGATGCCATATTTTCCGCTAATTTTCCAGCAACCATTCAATTTTCTCATCACATCGCTAGCCGTCTGTAGGTTGAATGACTTATATTAACTCAACCTTGTCTTCATGGCTTGGCTATTATTGAGATTTGTTGTCATTCAAGGTGTTTGATTTGACTTTGATTCCAGCTTTTATTTGCGAAGCCCAAGTTTGTTCTTAATTAATAGTTTGAAGCTTCTAAGGTCTACGAATAAGACTACAAAATGTTGTGACCTCTATTTTGGTCTCAGTCTCTTCTCAATGTATAGCAGTGGATTGACCTCATCTTGTCAACTTGGTCGTGTTGTAAGGGTGATCTAGTTGAAGTCCTCTGCTATAGTAGTTATGATAATTCCCAGGATTTGACCGTACCTTCATGTGAGCTAACCTAATAACTACGACTAACATCAGCAAAATGAAATATATTAGATAACCACAAAGTAAAAAACAACAGTCTTCATTAATTTACTCACGCAAAATCAAAGGGTAGGCAAATTAGATTGCTCGAGAGTTTACTGCACAACATGCGACGTCTGCAAATAGAAATATATTGGTAAAATAGGGAAAAAAAGCAGCAGGAATATCAAAGACTGTAGGAAAATGGACACCGAAAGATCAGAAATGATGGAACATATTTCGCAGACTGGAGAACAGATCCTCATACGATGAAAATATAAGGAAATGGAGGATTAGAGAGGCAATTGGCATACTTGCGGGAAGAAATTTACTGATCAGGAGATTGGAAGAAGTCAGAGCTTGCAATAACTTTGCATATTGCTCAGGAAAAATCAGAGAAAACAAGGATACGGCAGAACCAACAAAAAGAAAGTTCCAGGATTAAAGATCTATTGCTAACCCGAGGAAAAGGGATCCAAAGTAAGAAATGGATGAGGAAAATTTGAAAACCAGAGAAGATTTTGACTGAGTTTAGTCTCCTTGAGAAAACATATACAACTTTGGGGGCCTGGATAGCCACAACTGTCACAGAAATTCGGCATTATGGATGGTAGATCTGAGTCAAACTGACCAGAGATCCACTTGAGATGCAACAGCAACAAGAGATAGATGTGCAGAAAAACTGGATTTCCACGAGTCTCTTCATATATTGATGTTGGAGTAGCTTTCATTTCGTTTGAAGAGGCGAGTGGAAGGGATTCGTAAGTTGGCCTCACCGGAAGCTGTAGGGGGATTGCCTTAAAGCCGTGACTAGATTTGGGCGAATAGGTATTCGGCGTACCACCCTGCGAATGGATTGCTAGGTAACTTTTACTTTGGGTAAAAGTCTCTTCTTGTCGTTGGGATCTACCTAAATTAATGAGCTGTGGCTTAGTATCAGTCTGATAAATCGTTGTCTATGCCTATTTTTATATTTATTTTGTATTTCGACTCTTTTCCTTCAATTTATTTAATCTTTCTTTTCTCTTTTTTTGCTAGAGGCTTATCATCACGGCTATTCCATCCACTCCACGCTATAGAGAACCTACAGCTGAAAAGCTCGGTCTAATCGCCAAAACTAATTGTGCTATGTAAGCTAATTATTTTTATACATAAACGACTTTTATGCAGGTTGGGGAAAACTGTTTGTTTAATGATAGCCTGTTAATTTTGCTATCTGTAATGTTTACTATGTTTGCCTGACGATCTTCTGCAATTAGCCCACGCATATTCGAATGCAATATTTACTCGATTTAATATGATCACTTTGAAATATTTACACGCCAAATTACTCATTTTTAAGTTAAATGAGATTAATTTGAGCAATTTCTTTTAATCGGTAACTAATGAACCCAAAATATATGCCTTTTAGCCATAAGATTCTGCTGCTGCGTATCCCTTTCCTTATTGAAAGCAACTTTAAGTGTTTTTAGTTTTTTGACCTTGTTTTAGCAACA